TACGTATGTGTTGCAATGAGGTCATGCCCACTCATTCTGGCTTTGCAGACAGAACTGCATTATTATTTCTGAATGCAACCTTAATTGCAACTCAGGTCAAAGCATTTGACAAAGATCTGCTTCTTTCAGAGTCCAGACTTCTAAGCAACTTAACTGTTGCTTGGAAGCTCACAGACCTCATGTACTGACAGACTGGCTCTTACCAGAACTTCTTAAACAAATGGTTCTCCTCAATCAATTTGTGCAGCACAATGAAATCCTGGTCTCGAATGGGGCATCATATTCTAGGCGTAGTAAGAATATTCTTGGAGAAGTTCCCACACACAAAGGCACCAGTGAAAGAAAATACAAAGGAAAGAGGAACACAGGGAATAAGGAGCAAGGAAGCTTTGAAGTGCGTTAGTCCTATCTCGGTAACTGTATTCTTACTAAGTATCATATAGATTCAGAGAGCAAAGGTCACAGCTCAACTTTCTATTCGTATGAAATACACTGATATAATCCATAAAAGAGGAAGATATTGATCGTGAGTCTTGTACCAACATTCTTGCCTCTGTTCACAAGGTTTCTTTGCTATGTACTAAGAACTGTTGCAGTTCACTCACCTTCTGTACAGAAAGTTCATTTTAGCTGTTTCTGTAGATAGAGTTCTCAAATAAGTTCTCTGTCAACAGAAAGGTTCTAGCAGCAATGATACACTATAGACATATCAGTTTGGGAAATGGGAGGAGATCATCTATGTATTCAATGTTATAGAGCAGGAGTCCTTAAAGTGGGAAAACTAAAGCTTATTCCTTCTTTGCCTAGAACGGTTGGCTTCAGGGAACTTGAAGTCATTGCCAGGCTGCAACTTAGTTATGTGTAAAAGCATGATGAAGGACAAAAAAATCACAAGTTGTATCTATAAAAAACTTATTTACTGATAATGTTGGAGAAGTGCAAAGCTTTATTTTCAGAACCTTATTTTTGTTCACACGAATCTGGAAGACAAAGTATCTTCTCCTTATAAACAAAGCCTACTGGATACTGAAGTCCCTCAAGCTTTATTGAATAGTCGGGGTTTCTGAAAGCTAAATAGCAGAACAGAATCAACACTATGGTAAGAAAAATATATGCCCTACTAGAATGAAACTATTTCTGTCCTTTCATAGCCAATCATAATAATTCTGAGAGCATCAGGTCACTTAACCTCTTCATAGGTATACAGAAGAAAATGCAACCCTAAGGGTTTGAGTATGCAACTACCCCCAGGTTTTTACAGCAAAGATCTGTACTGTCTGAGGGCTATCAAAGGTTGGGATGCTTCCAAAGGCAAACCGTTTAGTCAGAGGCAGACCTGATCAAGGCTCATGCTTTCCAAAAGGCAGCTAGCTTACTTAGGCCCTTTAAAAAATCCTTTCCCTAGAGCTCATCCACTGGGCTGTTTGGGCGGTGTATTTTGAGCAGCAGCAAAGTGCCAAGTCAAAAGCAAAGAATTTGTTTCTAAGAGAAGAAAGGAAAAGACAAAGAGCAAAAGTTAACACTGCAGATCACTGCAAGCTTCAGAGAGTACAAAACAATTGTTTTAATGAGAGCTAAAAATACTTCCTTGTAAGTATTTTGCCAAAGTCTTCTGCCAAAGACATGCAATACACTGAGAAACATGTTTGCAGAATCAAAATATTTATACTACAAAGTAGCAGTTCCTACTTTAGAAACTTATAGCTGATTAAGTTTGAACTACATTTTTCATAATACAGACAAAATACTATCAACCACAGCCAAATGTAAACATTGGCTTTGTTGCAAACTTCATGTTCAAACAGGAGAAAAAAACCAACCCAGACCACAGTTACCTTGGTGTAACTATCAATCTATTTATATGACAAAATACAATTTTCCTTTCTAACCTACTCTTTGCTATGTGACACAACTTGTACTAGAATGCACCCTGAAAAAAACTAACAGAAGGGCTGCGCAAACAAATATGAAGTCATCTGGCCTCATGGGAAGCTTTACAAATGTCTGTTCTCTACACTCAAAAATCGTGTCTCAACTCAAAATTCAATACAACTCTTCATTTGTAGTCCAGGGGAACACAGACAGTTAAACGTTTATAGAGATCAAACTTCAGAGAAACTTTTAATGGAAAGTGTCAAGTTCAGCTTCTTTGTTAATTTCAAGCATCGGAAAATCTTGCTTTTTTTAAGGGGAATAACAAAGAGAATTGATTTAAGTCATGATCAGAATGACAATTAACTTCTGAAAATACAAGTTTTCTTGCCATATTTAGAGAATGCCGAAACAGTATCTACAGCAACATCAACAGTGCAGCTGTGAGGCTGCCAATATTGCCTCCAACTGTGTAAAGAACTTTTTTCTTCTTTTTTCAAGTCTTTTTTTCACTTTTCTCCTTCCAAAGACATAAAACCTAGCAAGAATTTAATGTAACGTTATGGTATTTGTAACATTGGAGCAACAACTTGTTCAGCAAACATTAATTGCCAGCTCCTGCATTTAGTTTTAATTGTTCTCTCCTGTTGTAACCCAGGAAAGAAAACCAATAAATGATACAAGTGGGTGTCAGCCACACTTGTGTGCCGAAACCAAACAGCCTTCCTCCAGTTAAGGCCCAAAACTTGAGATTACTGTAGGCTTTCAGAAAAGACTAATCATCAACAAAACAGTTTGCATTGTTTCTTACAGTAAGAAACTCCCAGTAAGGGAATGGTAAAGCAGCAGAAGTGGAAGAAGAGCATTCAAAGTTCTGAAAGCATTTATACTACCTATGTTACCTGATTCATTAGTTGCAACTTCAGTTCTTCCCCCCTGAATGTCTCCTTTCTTTCCTTCCTGATGAAAAGCTGGAACAGACTAAGACAAACTTTTGGTGCTACAAACTGGTTCTACGAACTGGTGAGGCTCGACTCACCAACAGTGGTTCTGCTGGAGATGTGTTTCCCTCCCCTGAAAGTGAAAGTGAGATACGATGATTATTAAGGAGTAAGACATAAAGTCGCATGACTCAGTCTCTGGTTCATCTGCAATAGCAACTGCCTCCATCATTCTCTTCACACGAGCATCAGCAAAAAATATCTGCAGTTGCCATCCTCCTCTCTGGTATGTCCTCCATACCCACCCATCCCACTTCTTCCCTCAAGCCATTACATGAATATATGAATATCTGTAAAGGGGGAGCTAGCAAATAATTTTTTACTGTAATTTATGTCCAAACATTCAGCTTGTCCTCTGTATCTAAATTTTAAGTACATTAAGTACAGTGTGGGACTTCTGCGTTATTCTCTGCATCACTTAACACACCAGAATACTGCCCTGTGCTGTAACAAATACATTACAAACATCATCTGACTTCTCAGATTTTGCCACAGTATAGGAAGAATAGATAGATGAGCCAGTGTCCCTAAAATTGCATGTAGATCAAGTGTCAGCGTCATCATATGTAGACACAACAGGGACAATTCACGTTCATTTCAGGACGGTCCAGAAACTAGCTTCAAGATCAAGTACTCTGAAGAGCAAGCAAAAGAGGATATAGTGAAGTTTCTGCTGCCATTAGCTAGCTTACCTTCCTACAAGTCTTCAAATTGAAAAGAACTGTGTCATAACTTTAAAATGCCTACTATGTATTGCCAGGCCATCAAGTCTGTAAGATGGTAAACTTGATTTGTCTTGGTAAATTTGGAACTTTAAAGATGCATATAAGACATTAATATAGTACAAAGTGAGCCCTAAAACAAGCAGTCACACTTGAAATTCAGATCATGTTTGATGTGGATATGTTATTAGAAGCTGTATACACATCTATAAAGTGAGCTAATAGCATCAGTATTAATTACTACAGGAGAATGTTTTGTCACTTAGAAACAGACAGATGAACTTGCTGCTCCCACATTCATGTTGTTTATTTACTATTTACAAGGCTTCCAAAGATCCAGTTATGTTCTTCTTGTAATAGGTAAATCAATACCAAAATAATCATTGCCTTCTACCTCAGTTAAAGACTTAGTCTAGACCATGTCACACTATAGTTCTCCCCAGAACTCCTCACAATAGAAAAGAGCTGCAACCAAAAGTAGTGATACTCAAAAAAATATTATACATCTACACCAGGAAAATTAGTTCTTCATAAAGGCACATTTATTAATGTTTGACTGTCATTTTCTCATTGTCAGAACTTGCCACTAACAATAGTTCCAACAGTATGGAAAAATCTGACAGTAGGTGCCTCTTACTCTAGAGAGCAGTATTTGAAAGTTAAAACTAGAACAAGTTGGGAGTTGTGTTGCAGTTTAGCTTTTTTTTTTTTTAAAGGAACTGTAGAACCGTAAAGTCAGCAAGTGAGATGCTCAAAATGAGCTTTATCAAAGCCTGTCCCATTCCTATCTGCTTTATCAACCTGTACCTCAGCAGTATTCTGACTTGCAAGTGGTACTTCATCACACTGGATCACATTAATCTCCAGTCTTCCCTGTTCGCTATGAATCAACCAATCATATTGTTTTTCCTAGAGTACCATGAAAGGTGTTCTGAAAGATCCAACACACTAAAATTTGTGTAACCTTTAAGTCAAACTACAGTTTCACTCACAGGCATTCATGGTCCCTTACTACAATTAAAAAAAACCACCTCAATCCCTGGGAATACACACATATTTCCCAGAACCCCAGAGGTAATCCTAATCTACTTGCATAAAATCAAGACACCCAGTGGCAAAGATGGAATCAGAGTAGCAAACATCACAACTATCTACTGACTAATGCGTGGAACTGGAAAGCAGACACAGAGGTGATGCATGTGTTCCTGTAATTACATTCCATTTTTCTTTTGTGCCTTGTTTTTCATTAAATAAAAAAGGCAGATATTGCTTCTATTCCATTTCTTCTATTAATTCTTTAAAAGCTGTTGTTGGACATACGCACACAAACATCATCCAACCTCGAAGAGCAGATTGTTTAGTAAAGAAATACACATATGCATTTTGAAAACAGGGTTTTATTGGAACTTACAAAAAATGTCTGAAATCTAATTCAGGAAAGGCACTTCAGGCTTTAGTCCCTTTTCTTTTTAGCTTTGGGTTTTTCTGACAGCTGAGATAATTCACTTTCTTCAATTTCACAATGCTTTCTTTTCTTTTTCTTTGACTTTTTATGGTCACTTTGGTAACCACTGGAGTCACTGGTAGGCAATACATGTTCCTGTTCTTCTTGCTTGTCCTTTTTCTTCTTCTTTTTCTTCTTGCCTGTTTCATCACATAACCCATTCACAGCATCAACACTTTGCCCTTCTTTGTTTTCCCTCCCAAGGTTATTTGTCTCATTTAAAGGCTCTTCTGTTACATTATCTTCCCCAGAGTCATTCAAGCCATTTTCCTGGTGATCAAGCTTTTGAATTTCATTTCCATTCGCACTGTCAGTGATGGTCTCACATCGTTTGGGCCGCATGCTGTAAAAGAAATACACAAACTGATTTAGAGACATGTTAGTGCACCTCACACAGTAGAATCTCAAAATTCGCTAAAACACAGTATTTACACCAAGTAGATAAAAGAGAAAAATTTGCTAAAAAACACAACAAATGGAGAGCATGACACTCTAGTGACAGAAAACTATAAAGCCAGTTTAATACTTTCACGGTAATTTTTATTACCTTACTAACCTCCTTCTTACCTCATTATGAATATTCTTTCAAATCTTAGCCTAAATTTCTTCTCTAAAACACTGTACAAACCATTTAATACTTCCTTTTTCATCCCCTAATTCATAATTACACATCATGTAGTAAAGCTTTTTTGTTTAAGTCTTTCACAAATACACACAGCAAATGGTCTATTCAATCATACATGAGACACACTTCTGATTTTACCAAGCAATTGATAACTGCTCTAAACAATTAAAACAAAGGTGATGCCAGAAAACTAAAAAAAAAACTAAACAAGAGAAAAACCCAAACAAAATCAAAAAAACCAGCAGGTATCATGCAACTCAAGAGCACTGGAGAAAATGTCTAGGAAGACAAATATGGAAAGAATGCAGTTTAAAACCATGGAAGAGGAGATGTCCCAAAAGGCACTAAGGACAAAATAATAAAATTTCATTGTAAATTCACTGAAACAATCCAGAGCATCCTTCCAAATTAAAAAAAGAAAAACCACACAAAAAATATTATGGATTTCTGACTAGCAGTCATATTGTACATTTAATTAAAAACATAACCATGTTGGCAGAAAAACACTGCTTAGTAACTGACTGTTCTAAAAAAAAATCTGAATGAACTCTTTTAAAGACAAGATTTTTTGCAAGCTGCCCTAAAAATTTAGAGAGGCCTAAGGAGGAAGGTGATGCATTTTCTTATATCATCTATGTTTCAACAAGTCATCCACATCTAACTATTTGTGATTATGCAATATACACACACATTTTTGTGTAAATGTCAGTGTAAACACTGTGTTCAGGAACTATGCTGTTTTCACTTGAAAAGCCTATGCACATTCATTAACACAGCTACTCCAGATATCTCAGGGTGTTATTTTGAGCATTTAATATCTACGCAATCAACAATTTCACAGGTCAACACACTTGGATTTTTAAAGCTCAAAAAAACCCTAGTTTTAATTTTTCCACAAAAAAATTCCATGCAAGTCCTTAACAGTGGAAAGTTTAGTTTAAAATACCTAACACAGGTTACATGCAGACATGGGTTTGTGCAATAATAAGAAAGCTTAAAGATTAAGATGTAATTAAAATAATTCAGTTTATAACAGACCTATTAAAACAGTTAAAAATATTCTCTATCAGGGCACAATACCTTCTTTTAGTGAGTCCTCCTCGAATGAAGAACACCCCAGCTGTATCGGAATCCAAGTGCAACACTTGAAATTTCAGTTCATCCCCTATTTTTAACCCCAGCTCTTGCCACTGTACAATTGACATTTGTTCAGGCTTAGGGATAGATGCATTAAAGCATCCATGTATCAGGCAGCCAATATGACTAGGGGCCACTTTATTAATTATACCCTAAAATAGAAAAAGAATGTCATGTGAAGATATAGCAGAGATCAGCCCTTTAAATGCACATAATATATATTTGGGTTCCTATATGGACATTTTTCAACAAGAGTTTATGCACAAGTTATGAAGTCAGTTTATCAAGCAAATAAGCTAACTCTTTTTCACTAAAATCAAAGCTATTCCTGTATACTCTTCGTACAATTCCTCTGAAAATAGAACTCAATTGCAAGAGAAAGAAACTCAAAACATGGGATTTAGCCACAATGAGTACCTGAATAGAGCAGGTAACTCTTTCCTCACACTACAGGGATCAACTTTGATTTGAAGCCATTTTAAGTCTGATTTAGTTTCCTGAAAAGGTCTTCAGGCTGGCACAGCACTACTTAGCAGCTGAAGATACAGAAGACGCACAGGAAGCTTTTAAGTACTCCATTTAGTGGGCTTCTGACACATCTGCATGTGCAACGATATTCACCTTCGTTTTGCCTAAGAATGAATGACATACACCGAAAATGTTTTCATTCTCTTCATTCTTAAACACATTTAGAAAGACACAAGCTATGCTGCAAAACGTATGGCATAAATACGAATGTAAGCCAACTCTCAACTCACTTTTGCCAAAAGCACTGTTGCAAGGGTATTAACAAGCTAAAAGCTGTTCTGTAAGCCATACATCTCCTTTTATTGAAGGCAAGCTTCAACTTAATGTATTGCTCTTGTAAATGAAGGAACTAAACTCACAAGAATATTCTAAACGTTCTTGTCAATATAACAGATACACCTGTTTGAGAATTATGGGCTCTTCAAAGAAGCATGGATATGATATACACGATTATGACACAGTATTTAATATGTAATCCTTATGCTACAATGTTTTAGGTAATATATAATTATACATAAATTTAAAAAATTTAGGGACAGACAGTACAGATAGATGAAATAAAAACTACTGCTACCAACTGGTAACAAATTGCTATTAACTAGTCATATATGAATAAAATATATCTCCATCTAAGCTCCACACCACTTGATGCTGGAGATAAATCAAGCTTTGACTGCTTAACTAAAAAAAAAAAATAAAACCGCTCCGTGAGACGCCAAGGCATTTACATACCACCAGCTTTTTCCCTTTCTTGGGGCTGAAGATGACAAAGTCCGCCTCGATGTTGAGGTGGATGAATCCCTGGTCGTCGTAAATGTCGCCGAGCTCACCCACCACTTTGATGTTGTCGTAAGCCACGGGCACACCCTGAAGGCTGGAAGGGGAAGGAGGGGCGGGCCCCGTTAGCTGTTAGTGCGGAGACAGCCCCCCCCCGCGCCGAGCCCGCCACCCCGCCCGCACCTCTCCGAGTATCGCAGCAGCTCCGCGTCCAGCTGGGCGCG